ATACAGACACCAAATATACAGCAGAACACCAGACGACCCATAGGTTTACATGACGTTTCTGCCATAAATGCCGTCTTTTTATTTTTACAATAACATAATTTGTTATCTTAATTTTTACCACGCGGGCAGAATAATTGATAAACTTTACAGATTTAAAATCTAAAAATTACAAATTTTAACTATTACATAAAGTCGTACCATTCTTATCCGTTCTTTCAAGAGTATCTCATAAGCCTTTCCTGTCACACCATCAACTAGTTAGACGATTTGCATATATTACGATGTGCCGTAATTTAATGAGCTAACAGGTCAATCAATAAACATTTGTAAGCTTGAAGGAAAATATAAAAACTATTTTTTAATGTTGTAAAGCACCATTATCGTTTAAATTTTACCCTGTGTATTTTCCGAACTATTGTCCGTTTATCCAATTTATGTAAAATCTGAAAAAGAACACATATCTGATTTAAAATATAGTCGTCTGAATTCTGTTTGCCACGATCACTGCGTAACCAATAACTGTAATATAGATCAATCAAATATACAGATTTTACATAAAGAAAAACGAATTTATGACAGAAAATTTAAAGAAAGTGTGGAAATATCAAGAAATAAACATCAAGGTTGTATAAACAAAAACCTAAGCGTTAAAATTAATGAAAATTGGTTAAAAATATTATAAATAAAATGTATTAGATTAACATGTATTAGATTAATAGATTGGTATAAAAATAATTAATTAATTTCAATCAAATAATATTCAAAAAACTTTTTTAATATAAAAAAAGTACTGTACTGATGTCATATGTAAATTGGATAAACGGACGATAGTTCGGAAAATACGCAGGGTAAAATTTAAACGATAATGGTGCTTTACAATATTAAAAAATAGTTTTTATATTTTCCTTCAAGCTTACAAATGTTTATTGATTGACCTGTTAGCTCATTAAATTACGGCACATCGTAATATATGCAAATCGTCTAACTAGTTGATGGTGTGACAGGAAAGGCTTATGAGATACTCTTGAAAGAACGGATAAGAATGGTACAACTTTATGTAATAGTTAAAATTTGTAATTTTTAGATTTTAAATCTGTAAAGTTTATCAATTATTCTGCCCGCGTGGTAAAAATTAAGATAACAAATTATGTTATTGTAAAAATAAAAAGACGGCATTTATGGCAGAAACGTCATGTAAACCTATGGGTCGTCTGGTGTTCTGCTGTATGGGTGTCTGGTGTCTGTATCGAAGTGAGGTATGTTTCACAAAAAATTTTTTGTACGTTTTTTTTAGTATTTTATTTGTGTTCGGTTGTATCCATATAATATTTTATATCTATTTAGTTGGCTGAGGAGGGGCAAATGCCCGAAACGTAGATGTATAGCAAAACGTTCTAACTGAATAAAGATTGAAAACTTGCCTAGTGTTGAAGAAAAGTCACTTCATTGTGCCAGCATACAATACATAAATACAACACGGTTTCGCAACAACAATATATGGTTAATAAAAATCTATTTTAAGCTTACAAATTACTTTTTTTCTGTACTATATTAAAAACTAAAATTTATCTAAATTTACAAATGCATGTACTGTAAATACAGTACATACTTGTATATATTTTAATATGATTTTATGTGCTTTAAACGTTTTTCTAGTGATATTACGACTTCAATATTTGTGGCGGACAGACTTAAAGTCGAATAAAATGACTTAAACTTGATTTTTATTTTTCCATATACTTTTTTGACAAATGACGTATAATCGGGAACGATGTAACTCGAAACGACGTAAGTCGAGGTATACCTGTACTGTAATTTATTTCTTATAACAGAAGTTTTTCATTCCAAAGTTTCTAAAATCACTTCCCAAATATTTTACTTTAGGTCTGTGATCTTTCAATTGTTTTGATTTCAAAGTTCATCTGCTTTCTTTCTTCGTTGTCTTTCAGAATAGAAAATATTTTTTTTCTTTTAGAATAATTTATGACAAACTACATAATGAATTCAGAAAGAAAATTCTAGAGAATAATATTTTGCTTTCAAGAAAAACACTTCATTTATATCCTATCAAAAAATATACTATAGAATATTATCTTGTACTTAAGCATTTAACTTATCTAATTTTAGAGAACAAACAGACAGAAAGTTAAAGACTGCTTATATATTATCCTAGCATGTCTACTAATAATAACATCTATTTTGGCCTCAACATATGCCTTAGAATGAGGCTGACAAAGTGCTTTTCAGGAAATGAATTAACCATACTGATTTTTTTCTGACCAATGAATGTCTAAAACAAACCTAATGAAAAAGTATTTTTTCAACTTGATAGTATGCACATCTCTATATGCTTACTGTTTATAAATATAACCACAATATGAAATAAATTAAATTTTCTTACTTTGCTAGGATGTTCATTTTTCACTAAAACTGTTCTCTAGGATGTAAGTGAAATTAGGAAATATTATTTTCTAATTTTGTACTCCATGGCAGATTGGTTATGCAGAATAACCAATCTACTATGCTAAATCAAGAGGTATATATTATAAATAAGAAGAGTGTACTATTCATATTTATTCTCTGATTGAACATTAAATTATTTACTCAGGTTTTTTCCCATATAAATTGCTACAAAACTAGCACATAATCTTTACTGCTTACTATGTTCATTATGGAATTCTTATGAAAGGATAATATTATATTTAAAATACACTGATTTTTGTAGAATTTTATTTCATTTTTAAATTTGTAGAGTATATATGTTTTTTATTTAACATTTATCTTTATTAGCAACAGTTAATACAAAAATGATATGTAATATAACTATAATTAATAAAAAGTTTAGAATCAAATTAATTGATTCTAAACGTTAATTTAATAATTTATTATTTTTTACTTGATTATATGATGGTTAATATAGTGTAAAATATTCAAAATTATTAGTAAATATGAATAAGCCAAATATAGTGTAAAGAAATCTCACACAAAGTGTTGTTTTAGGAAGTTTACAATGTTATTTGCTTCTGTTGTACTGTACATAGTACAAAGAATGATCTTTCTCTTTCTAAAACCCATATTTCTTTCTTAAAAATAGGAATGAAAGGAAAATGATAGTCAATTCTTAGAGTAATGAAAACAACAAAGTTCTTTGCACATATATCTTTATTACTGAAATATTTTCATTTATATGCATGACAATATTAATTAAATACTCATTTATTGTATATTTGATATCACTTTTTTAACAGATCCAATTAACACTGTTTTTGAAAGATATTGGTCTGCCAATTAATGAAGCATTGTTATTTTGGAAAAAAGAATATTCAATGCCTGTAACTGAAAATTCTAAATGCTCACATTCATGGTCAAAGGAAAGTCAGCGTTATACCTATAATATTCGTCATCTTTATGGTCAAGAAGGTTCAAATAAAACATACACAAGTCATTTATGTAAAACTTTACAAGAAGATATATTAAAACCAATTGATGTGGGAGGCTGTCCTTTTGCTCAACATGATGTAAATAATATCAATAAAATTATGCAAGAAAATAATATACAAGTAAGAAAAATTTATATATATACTGTATATATATATATATTTATTTATTTATTTTTAGGAATGTTTAAAAATAACTTTTTCTTCTTAAAACAAATACAGGATGTTTCAAATTATTTTTCCCAGTATGTAAATTTATAATTTTCAACCAAATTCTATTAAAAATGTATATGAATGAACTCTTAAAATGCTAAACAAAAATTATGTTAATGTTTAAACAAATTCTGACTATTACTCTGTTTTGAGAATTCTATTTGTGAAAAAATGATATTCAATTAATGTTCTTACATTAAACTATATAATAGTGTCATGATAAAAATAATTTCTGACGAAAGTCCAAAAAAATTAATATAGATAATTATTTCAAATGTTTCTTTTATTTTAAAGCTAAACTATTAAAGGGAAAAAATTTCTTGTTGATTAAAACAGCAATTGATCAAGAAATTTTTAAAACTGAAAAATTTCACATAATTTGAATTTAAGAAATCAGTTATTCTCAAGAGTCCTTGTATGAGTTAATTGCGCAGTGCTTGTAGCAGACTTCATGATCATAGGATGATATTTTTTAAATTATTAAACACATGAATTTTAGAATTGTAATGATGTTTATATTTGTTTTTAAAGAAACATCATTACACATATATAGAAAATCCAAGTCCAAATTATACTAATAACCAAACATTAACTATCAAACTAGAACATAGCTAATTATTGTATTTTACAGCATATAAGATGTTTGGAAATATAAGACACACCCCATATTAAAAAGTATTTAGTGTATTTAAGCTATTCTGTGCTTTTGGTACTCAACCCTAAAGTTTTTTTTTACTGTTTTCTAATTAAAAAAAAGTAAAATTAGAATGCACACTTTTATATATCAGGAGAGAAATGAAGTTTAAAGGAAGTCTTTTACAATTAAAGTTTACCATCAAAATATTCAATATGAATACATACAAAAGTTAATTAGATTTAGCAAATAATAAAAATAATATGTTTAATTAAACAATAACAATTTTTATTTAAAAGTTGGCTAGGTAGAGGCTATTTAGGGAATTTGTTAGCCTGAGGGAGGTCACAACTTTAAAAATAAAACTGGTAATTTTTGAGTCTTTTTGGACAAAAGTTGTCTTATACAGATAGCCCTTGATTTACGCTGCAGTACCGTTCCTACAAAAGCCGGCGCAAATCAAATTGGCCTAAAACTAACCCATATTTACAGTGAGGTATAGGGTTAGGTTCTACATAAGTGAAAAATAAGCAAATAATTTTGTTTATTAATACAATATAATGCAAAATACATATAAATTTTTAATTTTTAAAATGTATTTTATCATAAAATAAAGTAAAATGTTTTNTTTTATAACAAATGATGCCACATACAATTTTAGTTATTTATTTTCATTAATAATACAAAAGTTATTTTTAAAATAATATAACAGTTGGGAAAGTTATGCAACTTGTTGCTAGGTTTTTTAGTGTTTGTTAATATAGGTTAATATGCTATTCACGCCAAGTAATATTAATTAATAGATAAAACTCACTGTGTTCCTTATTGTTGGCTATCCGCCTGACCGAACACCAGGATGATATAGCAAAAGGAAGGTGCAGCACTGAACTCACAAGAAGGTTATGTGACATGAATTATAACCCATTATGGGCCCAAGCCACTATACTCAGGGCATGCAACGACCGAAGACTACTCTTTGTGTGGGAGTCACCATATACAACAACATTTGAAACGTGCAACACACCTACTCTAGAGCTGCCCAGTATATGGATCGCCCTATATAAACGATTAAATGGTGAATTACATCACATGTCACGTCACTAACAGGAAACAGTACCACGCATGCGCCGTATTATATCAGATTCGTAACATCGCACATAATTCAAATCGTAGCGGACTCATATCGAAAAATTATTTAAGTTTATATGTGTTCTTCTTTCGAATGTTTGTGTTTGATTAAAACATTTTATTCGCCTGAAGATGACGGAAATATATTCGTCGAAAGCGCTCGAATGAACAAAAAAATGATTAATAACGCCGAACACAGTGAGTTTTATCTATTAATTAGTGTTTGTTCATATCTGCATAAAAAAGTATCATTTATTCTCTGAAAATAATAAATGCATCTTTTCAAGACTGCATAAAATATAGTTCTTGCAAGTGTTGTAAATAATCAAATACATTAATTAAAGAATTGCTGATCATAAGAAAATACTCAATCAGTGAAGTCAATTAGTATTTAGATTGTACTGAATGTCACAATGGGAAAGGGAAGTCACATTACAGTAGATATCCAATCTGTTCAAATTAAAAATGCTCATATAAATTTAAAATATTCATATTCATTGACAGTATATAAGAAATTACAAATAATTATTCTGCAGATCTATATGGCTAGTTGAGAATCTCTCATTAGTAAGTGTAAAGCATTTCTCATATTAATATCCTTTTATCTCTCACTCTCTGCCAGCTCCTACTACTGCCCCCCATAAGTTTAAAAGAAGCAGTGTAAATGAACAACTGCTCAAAACTGTAAAAAAATCACAAGTAGTTGACAACTGAATGAAACAGAAAACAGGCACATTAGACTGAAATAGTAGGCTATATGAACAACCATGAGGTAAAGAAGAGTTAAATTTAATATTTGTTGTTGTTCAACCTTTGGTTTTTATTGAGCATTATCATGTGCATCACTAGTTTGCACAATAATGTGTTGCTAATGATCTTGGGCTATTGCATTTTTACAGTAGCCTACCTACTTATGTTAAGTCTACATAAGTCATCAACAATATGGGTGACCCACACTCAGAAATTTTTGATTATATTCTTGAGTGATATTGTGAAGACAAGAGATGATCTGTGTTGATTAGTGGAAAGCAGGGCTGTGGAGTCGGTAGATTTTTACACTACTCCGACTCCAACTTTTCTTTACCATTCAACTCAGACTCTGACCAGGGGCAGATTTATTAACAAAGTAAGCGTAAAAATTCTGATGTCATCACGTGACCTCAGAATATAAGCTTCAGTAAATATAGTTCTAATAAAGATAGAATGTAGAAACTTTTTTATTTCAAAGCTAAAATACTCCTCTAAGTAATGACATAGTCAATACATAAATATGTATTCGATAATTTTTACTTATCCGGCTGTTATATATAACAGAGGAAAAGTGTAGCAATTGGTCAAAAAATGATCCTACCCCAAATTTTTACATTTTTGGTTTCAGGACACCTCAAAATGTCGAGATATGCAAAAGATTTAGGTTTTTTTTCTGTATGTATGAATGTTAGATTGTATGAGAGGCACGATTTTGAATTGGAGTTGGATGGTTTAACACAGGAGTTATTAAGCTTCAAAATGGTTGAACTAAACTGGTTGGTACACAGTCTAACATCCATGCATACAGAAAAAAACCCCAAATGCCTTTGCCCTTCTCTATGTTTCAAGGCTTCAAATGTTCAGAAGAGTAAAAATCTGGGAAAGTCATTTTTTGACTGATTTCGTCATTCTTTTCCTTTGTTATAAGCCTATAACTGAATAACTGCCGGGAAAGAAATAATGACAACAATTCTGATTATTTTTTAAAAATACAAAATAAAACGATTTTAAAAAACTAATTAAACATTAAAATTTTATACATCTACCAAATATATAAATTCACATTTATTGACTTGTTTGATGATGACAATGATACCATTGTCATAATCAAACAAGTCAATAAATGTAAGCTTGTATGAATAAAAATAGTAAATACATTCGTACACAAACAAATTAGTTTAATAAAAATGTTGTACATAATATATCAGTGTATTGGGTAATATATAAGTATACAGATAACTAAGTCAAGAATGAGAAATATAACATTTAGACTTGTAAAGAAAAAGGTTGCTTATTTTGCCATGTTGATTATTTTATTAATTTTCATCTCTGTTATAAAGTGTTACTCCTTACAAAAAAAAAAATCACTTCTATTAAGTCAGCATTCACTGAAGTTCTTAAATCATATTTAATAATTTTAAGTGTGGAAAATAAAGCTGTACTGAAACTTGGTTGATGACAATTCTGTGACAATCAATGCTATATTGTGGATAATGTCTGGATAGTGCAGTATTGCCATTTTAACATCCAAACTTGAAGAGTGGTCAATGTAATTTATTTTTTCCAGTGTATAGTAAATATCATCTTCAAATTTTGTAAGATTTCCTTTTCTGTTCTGTACTCATATTAGAACTCAATCTTAATTTTGAGGGTAAACACGAGTTTTATAAAAAAAAAAACTAGCAGATGAGCTAGATGTTGCGCAGGCAAAAAGCAACAATAATGAAGATTAAGATTATTAGATTATAGCTGATCTTAATTGTTTTCACTGGGTGCAAGAATTAGGCCTCCCCTCTTTTGAGACTAATTAGAGAATTTTTAGATGGGTCTAAAGTATGTTTGATTTTTTGCAAAAACACAAAAAAAACTGCATCTAAAATAGTATGGAAGAAACAGAGTTCTGCAGTGTAATCCTTAACCCTCTCCCTCTCCCCCACGAGAGGAATTTTGAAAAATCCCTTCTTAGTGTACATTCTTATGACGTATCCTAACTGTGTACCAAATTTCAACTTTCAACTTTTAACTGTTTGAACTCTGAGTTTATATTTATTATTATTAACCCATCTCGATTATATTATAAGATTGTGAATGATAATAATGAGTAAAATATTCATTAAGTCTGACCACATTGGAGCTATGACACATGACCCCTTCTGCCTCTATCCTGTCCACCTTTAATTAAGAACCAAAATTTAATAGAATTAATGCCCTTTATACACATGCTACTGTGCCAAATTTTGTTTCTTAAACTTTACTCATTCTGAGATATTGTTTAATATTTCAGAACAGAATAAAGAAATTAAACAAATTAGATGCCTATATATGTGTGCATGCATGCGCGTGCAAATTTTTTCCTTTATTTGACACTTTTTGTGTTTGAGAGACCTCCAAATGTATA